GGGGGTGGGGGGGGGACGACGTTTAAGGACCTATATAAAGATCAGTTAAATAAAAATTCTTAATCTTTTCAAACTTTGCACTGTTTCACATCCACAGTAAATGTTCCTCCAATTTCTAAAATAGAAAGTTGTGATGATAAAGTGAAAGAAACTGGTAAAAATTAGACAATGACAAAAAATAGACTATTTGAGGAAAATTACTTATTTAGCTTCTGGTCACAGGTTTAAGGTAAAGATGCAGCACAAAAAAAGTATTTTAAATTGTTAAAGCCCATCTGCAAACAGACATTGTTGTATAATTTTTATATTGATGTGACATCATTTGACAATTATCTGCCTGGGATGGAGTACAGCCACATGGCAGATGATCATTCATTTGCTGACATGCTGGAAATAATACACGACTACCGAGTAGCAGGTTACTAATGAAGACAAAACTAAAGCCTGCTCCTCTCCAGTGATATCCGCAAGCTCTTCTGAAGACACTGACATATTTGCCCAGTCTTGTTCCAGGTTTGGCCTTTTCCACCATAGTGATTGGCCAGCCTTGGGATGACGCAACTCCCACACTTGTGCACAGGAGTTAATTCATCCGGACACCAAGGCATGCCGAGAATGCCCACGAAACATTCTAAACAGGTTTGCAAGCAGGTACTGTAGGTAAAAAGGTTTTACTACATAAAGGACATAGCAAAGAGAGTAATCCTTAATTCATGCACAAGTGGTTACCACAAGTGTCAAATGTGATGATCTATAAGCCCTTGTCACAGTACCATATCAGCATTGATATAGCTTGGACTATAGAAACTATTATTGCTTGGGATTATCTAAGGATGGATTATATTGCTCACATTTTATCCTTGCTTACAGTTATATGTCCAGGTAATATTTGATGTCAATTTACTGGTCATGTTTTTAGTCATTGCATGATTTCCAATCATATGTGTACATGTACAGTAATTTGTAGCGTTTAACCTATGCTTGAAATCCATGCTGATACAGTTCACATGCACTTTATATAGCACAGCATATGGTTTTGTAAGTGACTCCGATGCAAAATTTAAACAATTCTAGGGGGGGCTGCTTGTTACATTTTGATACATTTTTTTATATGTGTTTTGATTTGAGTGCAGATACATACTGTCTTTTTTGGGTTAGTCAACACATGAATTCAGAAATTGTCTAGAACTGCAGTAGAAGAAGGCAGAGGTTACATGAAAATTTGGAACATATCAATTTTGACCTTTATAAATAGACCCTAAATGTTTTACCATAATTAATTAATATCTAGTTGTCCCTGCCAACAAAATATCTTATTGTGTGCATTAATGCAATTCTTGTACGTATTAAAAACATCACGGAAAATATAACACATAAGTAAAATAATGCTACTGCTACAGTCTTATAATTATTTTAATCAAAATATACAGTATATGGTTATTATTAATACTGATAAGCTGAGGCCTATGTCACTGGTGTTGCTGGACAGGCCAATCTTCCTCTGTCTGTTGACTGAGTCCCTACACAGGGGAGATGTTGACTCTAATGGAATTTCTACTGGAAATAATCTTAGGGAAACTGTAGCCCTCAAGTAGTCTATCTGCTGCCGATCTATCTGTGAAATTAGTGACAGACTAAATGGAAAGGGAGGATGCTCTAGGCCACATGTGTCAAACTCAAGGCCCACCAGGCCATTTCCTAGACTTCTACTTTCAGATCTAAGTATTAAGTTATTACTAAAACCAGTGATAATCGAATGCTGAGCAATTATGGTAAAGATTAGATACATTTATATAGTCTTGCAGGCCCTTTGAGGGCAACCATAATGTTGATGCGGCCCACGATTAACTTGAGTTTGACACCCCTGCTCTAGGCAATATAACAAAAACATTTTTCTCTCTGAATCACTTTAATAGGGCATTAAAAAGGTAGCTCCTTTGCGGCTTACATTTTCTGATTATAATGATCCACTGCAGTTTCTAAGATTTTTTTGGAGTAGTCATTATTCTTTTGAATTGAAATATATGAATAATGCACAATGAATGATTTATATTTGTAAACGTCTTCAATGATCTTACTATTACAAATCAGAAAAAAAACATGAAATGATCATTTGCATATTTTTGTAATATTCACTAGCATTTGTAAGTAGACACGCTTGATTGTCATATATATTTTTACATTGGCACCCATAAACCCAGAAACATGGTTTATATAAAAAAAGAAAATTAATAGATCACTACTTTAGCTTAAAGCTACCCATACACCTATGAATTATCTGCAGATTTTCTATGGTCAGATGGTAAGTGCAACAGATTCCTCCATTTACGCTAAATTGTGGGGAATGGCGGAATCTCCCTCTGGGATAAAGCTTCAGTATCTTGTTAGTTGGTCCCGCTGACTCTCAAAACACCTGAACAATCTGATTTGATGCAGACATTGTTCAGGTATTTTGAGAGCCAGTGGGGCCGACTAGCAAATTACTGAAGCTTGGACCAGTGGGAAATCCCTCCATTCACACAGCTTAGTGTAGATGGAGAAATCTGTTGCACTTTTTCCATCTGACCATAGAAAATCTGCAGAAAATCTATAGGTGTAGGGCCAGCTTAACTAACAAAAGCAAGTTCTCAGAATCTTTTTGCAAATCTTATCACATCCTTGTGCCATTTAAACAGCAGGCTGGAGGGGTAATATATTTTTGCTTGCAATGTTTACATAGACAAAGTAAATGCACATCTTCCAGGTATGTAAATGTTTCAACTCATGAATTGCTCTAATGAGTAGACCATACACTGACATTATGATAGAGTGCAAGCTATAGCTTAAAAAAGAGGTAATGCTCTCTTAAGGCACATAATTTTATGAGACATTCATATCAAAATCTCTGAAAAGAGGATATTGAAAATAGCATGTGGTAGCATGCATGCTCATGTTATGTAAGGCAGTGTGACTCCAGTGACCTAGAATTGCAAGTCATACATTATAAAATAAGTTCCATTTTTGTCTAAACCATTCGAAAAGTGTGAAGTCATGAAAGTGAACTGCCATTTACCATTTTACTAAAGTGCCACAGATGAAATTCCAATAATTGTTACCACTGGTATATATATATATATA